TCCTTGTCTCTGCACTCTCTCTCCACCACAGCCAGGATCGGCGACCGAAGACCCGGTCACAAGCGAATAGGTCCCTGGCTCAGTGTCCTCACCCCAACAGGTATCCGGGGCGAAGCGGAGGCATCAGGGAGCACTCACTCCGTGCTCATCCACGCCGTCATAGCCAGGCTCCGCCCCCCCCCCATCTGATTGTGCATCCGGTGACCCACACTTATTTAATACATCACCGAAGTCATCGTTGCCAACATAGTTTACTATAGACTGTCATCCCATGATATACACTTATATGATTTTATTTTGTTTTCTGAACCATTCATTATCATAGACTTATTTATACGATATACTTAATACATCATACGGGGCTCCACCCCAGAGATATTTGTATAATAAACCATTAAGGTAACCCTGATATTCCATTACGGCATTTAGAATTGTTTTTAGCGCTGGATGTTGTTTATATATGTGTTCTAGAAGGTTTAGGGGTTCCACCTTTCATGCTAGCTGCTCCCTGCATACAATTCCAGCGTTTGTTTTCATATTTTCATAATTTTAACGTGTGGATCAATTGGAGAGTAAATTTGACGAATTGTTGCAATACGTTCATGTCTTAGAAGAAGATAATGCGTATCTGAAACACACCATGTCCCAAATTCAGCTCCAACAAGAAGATTTGGAAAATGGGGAATGCCGGCAGAACATCCGTATTCGTGGTATGTCTGAATCTATTACCAATTCTCAACTTCACCGCCACCTTTTTTTTCTTTCTTCACTGCAACCCCCCACATGGTTCCAGAAGCATATTGGCGCCTAGACAGGGCACACCGATCACTACGCCCTAGACCTGCTGACAGCACCAGACCACATGATGTCATCGTCCGCTTTCATTTTTTTTAAAGCAAAGAAGCCTTGTTAGCCTCCATACGCAACAAGCCTTCCTTGGAATTTAAAGGGGACAGGCTCCAGCTCTTTTGTGATCTCTTTCCGATTACCCTGGCCAAACGGTGGGCACTGAAACCAATCACCACACACCTTCAACATCACTGTGTTCCTTATCGCTGGGGTTTTCCCTTCAAGCTGGTCGTCTCCAAAGATAATTCCCAAGTTATCCTACGTGATCTTTTAGAGACGGACTCCTTTCTGAAGCAATTGGGACTACCTCCTTTATTGGAAGACACCTTCTCATTACCACCTACCCTATCTAGCCCTTTTGTTACCCCCAACAAGATTTGGACACCAGTTCGTGGTGGCCGGAAGTGAATTTCATGTACTACACAACATCCTCGTCCTCCTCGTTCCAGCGATGAGCCTACCTGATGCTCTTCTAGGGTGTTCCACTGTGGATACTTTGGATTATCCCTTACACCCTCCCCCTCCCTCTCCTCTTCCCTCCTTCTGCCCCCACCTTCCTCTCCTCCTCCCCCCCCTCCCTCCTTCCCTTCCTCTCCTCCTCCCCCTCTTCCCTTTCTCTCCTCCTCCTCCCATTTCTCTCCTCCTCCCCCCTCCCCCCTTTGTCTCCTCCTCCCCCCCTTCATTTTTTTTTTTGTTATGCTGGCTGAGCCCTTGCTGGGTGCTTTCATTTATCTTGTTTTTTCTGGCCGGGTTTGGCGACTGTTATGTTTTGGTTGTTGTGTTGCCCCCGATTCCATCCAGAAACTGGCCTGGACGATTTGGGTATAGATGTTTTTCCCAAGTGTACATCTCTATGGATAGCTATGTTTTTTGCTGTAATGTTTCCTGTTTACATCTTATGTGATCTATTAATGTTACTTGTTTTCTGTTTTGTCTCATTGATGGTATCCCATTTACCTTTTCTGCTGGTACACATGCTATATCCATTGTCATTTTGTGATGGCCTTATGACTTCTGTCATATAATGTTAAAGGCCTTAACTCCGTTCAGAAACGGTGGGTGACTTTGAAGGAATTCCGATACTCAGGAGCAGACATTATTTTTGTCCAGGAGACCCATTTTAAATCAACTGCCTCCTTTTGTTTTGCCTCAAGGTTTTTTTCCAAATCCTTCTCGGCCTTTGATCCATCTGGGAAGGCTGGAGTGGCAATTCTGATTCGGACACATTGCTCCCTTTGGGTCGTTTCCTCCATGGTCGATCATCACGGTTGCTTTATTATTCTAGAATGCATGCTTGGTGACACCCCCCCTTATTTTGTTGAATCTATATGCCCCAAACTCAGGTCAGTTTCTTACACAAAAACGCTCGCCAAATTAGTTTTCTTCTCTACTCCACACATGATTATAGGGGGTGACTTTAATTTAATCCTCTCACCACACAAAGGCAGGAAGTGTCAGGAATGGACTTGCCAATAACGGTGGGACTCACCTGCCTTGTGGGCTGCAGTATCAGGGCTGGCCAGCGGGTGCTCTCAGCAATCAGAGACTCACCCCTGCAGTCAGCCAAAACACCTGAAGCTGATTGCAGGGGTTGTATTTAAGGAATGGCCAGACTCACAGTCAGGGCCTTGGTGTGTGTTTTTCCATGGGCCCCTGTACCTTGTATCCTGTGCCCCTTTTCCTGCCTGACTTGTTGCCGACCCTGCCTGATCCTGACCTCTGCTGACTTCTCCTGTTTGATCCCTGGCTTGTGACCCTGACCATTCTCTGCCTGACCCCCTGTACCTACCTGCCCGTTAGTTGCTGTACCCAGCTCGTGACCTGACTACTCTCCTCCTGCTCCTCCTGTACCTACCTGCCCGATAGTTATCGACCCGGCCTGCCTGACTACGTTGTGCTCTATATGTGTATGTACCTGTGTATCTATATCAGTTTAGGTTTGGGTTTGTTTCACCTTGTTGTATGTATTTGTGTTAGCTTGAGGTTTGGTGCACTGTGTTTATGTTTGTATTGTTAGTCTTAATAAATTGTCTTATTTATACCATATCTGAAGCCTGCGTTTCCCTGCGTCAGTTCACACACCTCTGGTCATACCCAGAGCCCTGACATTACAACAAAGCCAATCCTGACCAGAAGTGGCTGCACAGGGAAGCCATCTTGGCTTATTGTTGCTGGGAAGGATGGATCTTGATGAGGTTGTGTATTTATCTTTGCTAGTGTTTGATGACAAAGACTATGCTTATCAGACTCTGAAGGAGTATCCCCGGGATCAACTACTAGAGTGTATAAGGATCGCTCATTGTCTAGTTGATCAGGACACAGAGTTTTCTGAGGTGCAGCCATTGATTCAGGTTTGTGCTGAGTTGGCTCGGTCCTGTACCCCTGGAAGCAGGAATGACTTTTTTCCCCCATTTAGTGTGGATCAAGTGGAATCACTGGTATGGTTGTTGGAGGATGATCCAGATTGTTTCCATGAGCACTATGCAGCATGTCCATCACATGTGCTTATGGATTGCATAAACGCAGTGCAGTCTTTGATCAGACAGGCTAGGTGTAAGCTGAGTTTTGTTCAACCCATACTGCTGACATGGACAGATTTGTTACACCCAGCCTCAGTCAGCTTGCAACATCATTCCTCTGCTCAAGGCACTCTTCCTGCATCCCCAACAGCACCCCCAGTGATGGCCCAGTATACTCTGCTAACTACCACATATCAGTCCTCTGCTCCCACTCGCTGCATCTATCCTTTCTTTAACCCTGTAAAGAAGTCCTCTGTAGCAACTGCTCCCTCCTCTGTTCCATCCTCCAGCTCTTCTCTGTCTTCAGCTGCTCCATTCGTTTACAGACCTGGGTTTACTTACAGTGCTCCAGTAACTAAAACCAGAAAAAAGCGAAAATTCTTTCCAACCAGTACCATCCTGCCAGTATCCAAACCGGTCAGCCTGCCGTCTGAGAACCCGCCTTCTGTGGTTCAGCTTGGTGCCTCGGCACCCGCAATTCAGCCTGATGTCTCTACCCAGCCTGATGTCTGTACCCAGCCTGATGAACTGATCCAGCCTGATGATCCTATCATGCCAGATGACTCGGTGCCCGCTGTTTTGCCAGATGACTCTGTGCCCGCTGTTTTGCCAGATGACTCGGTGCCCGCTGTTTTTCCAGATGACTCGGTGCCCGCAGTCTTGCCAGATGACCTGGTGCCCGCAGTCTTGCCAGATGACTCGGTGCAGCAGTCTTGCCAGATAACTCGGTGCCCAGTGTCTTGCCAGATGACTCGGTGCCTGCTGTCGAGCCAGATGACCTGATGCCTGGTGACTTGATGCCCGCTGTCGAGCCAGACGATCCAATGCCTGATGACCCAGTGCCCGCTGTCATGCCTGGTGACCCGATGCCCGTTGTGGAGCCAGACAATCCAATGCCTGATGACCCAGTGCCCGCTGTCATGCCTGGTGACCCGATGCCCGCTGTCGAGCCAGATGATCCAACACCTGATGACCCAGTGCCCGCTGTCATGCCTGGTGACCCGATGCCCGCTGTCATGCCTGGTGACCCGATGCCCGCTGTCGTGCCTGATGACCCGATGCCCACTGTCAAGCCAGACGATCCAATTCCTGATGACTCAGTGCCCGCTGTCATACCTGGTGACCCAATGCCCGCTGTCGTGCCAGTTGACTCAGAGCCAGCTGTCATGCCTGGTGACTCGGTGCCCACTGCCTTGCCAGATGACTCGGTGCCCGCTGTCGAGCCAGATGACCTGATGCCTGGTGACCCGATGCCCGCTGTCGTGCCTGGTGACCCGATGTCCGCTGTTCAGCCAGATGACCTGGTGCCTGCTGTCGAGCAAGACGATCTAATGTCTGATGACTCGATGCCCGCTGTTGAGCCAGATGACCCGGTGCCCACTGTCGAGCCAGACGATCCGGTACCTGATGACCCAGTGCCTGCTGTTTTGCCAGATGACTCGGCGCCCGCTGTTTTTGTCAGATGACTCGGTGCCTGCTGTTTTTCCAGATGACTCGGTGCCCGCAGTCTTGCCAGATGACCTGGTGCCCGCAGTCTTTCCAGATGACTCGGTGCTCGCAGTCTTGCCAGATAACTCGGTGCCCAGTGTCTTGCCAGATGACTCGGTGCCTGCTGTCGTGCCAGATGACCTGATGCCTGGTGACCCGATGCCCGCTGCCGAGCCAGACGATCCAATGCCTGATGACCCAGTGCCCGCTGTCATGCCTGGTGACCCGATGCCCGTTGTCGAGCCAGACAATCCAATGCCTGATGACCCAGTGCCCACTGTCAACCCTGGTGACCCGATGCCCGCTGTCGAGCCAGATGATCCAACGCCTGATGACCCAGTGCCCGCTGTCATTCCTGGTGACCCGATGCCCTCTGTCATGCCTGGTGACCCGATGCCCGCTGTCGTGCCTGATGACCCAATGCCCACTGTCAAGCCAGACGATCCAATTCCTGATGACTCTGTGCCCGCTGTCATACCTGGTGACCCAATGCCCGCTGTCGTGCCAGTTGACTCAGAGCCAGCTGTCATGCCTGGTGACTCGGTGCCCACTGCCTTGCCAGATGACTCGGTGCCCGCTGTCGAGCCATATGACCTGATGCCTGGTGACCCGATGCCCGCTGTCGTGCCTGGTGACCCGATGCCCGCTGTTGAGCCAAATGACCTGGTGCCCGCTGTCGAGCAAGACGATCCAATGTCTGATGACCCGATGCCCGCTGTTGAACCAGATGACCCGGTGCCCACTGTCGAGCCAGACGATCCGGTACCTGATGACCCAGTGCCCGCTGTCATGCCTGGTGACACGATGCCCACTGCCTTGCCAGATGACTCGGTGCCCGCTGTCGAGCCATATGACCTGATGCCTGGTGACCCGATGCCCGCTGTCGTGCCTGGTGACCCGATGCCCGCTGTTGAGCCAGATGACCTGGTGCCCGCTGTCGAGCAAGACGATCCAATGTCTGATGACCCGATGCCCGCTGTTGAACCAGATGACCCGGTGCCCACTGTCGAGCCAGACGATCCGGTACCTGATGACCCAGTGCCCGCTGTCATGCCTGGTGACACGATGCCCGCTGTCGTACCTGATGACTCGTGCCCGCTGTCGAGCCAGACGATCCAATGCCTGATGACCCGGTGCCCGCTGTCGTGCCAGTTGACTCGGAGCCCGCTGTCATGCGGTTGACTCAGAGCTCGCTGTCGTGCCTGATGATTCTGGGCCCGCGGTCTTGCCAGATGACCCGGTGCCCGCCGCTCCGCCTGGGGACCCAGGGCCCGCCGCCCCGCCTGGGGGCCCAGGGCCCGCCGCCCCTCCTGGGGGCCTGGGTGCCCACCGCTCCGCCTGGGTGCCCGCCGCTCCGCCTGGGGGCCCGGTGCCCGCCGCCCTGCCTGGTGGCCCGGTGCCTGCTGCTCTGCCTGGTGGCCCGTTGCCCGTGCCTGCTGCTCTGCCTGGTGGCCCAGTGCCCGCTGCTCCGCCTGGTGATCCGGGGTCCAGCCCGATGTGCCTCTGTCCGTGTCCAGCCCGATGGGATGGGCCTCTGTCCGGTGTCCAGCCCGATGGGCCTCTGTCCGGTGCCCAGCGCGATGGGCCTCTGTCCGGTGCCCAGCCCGCTGTGCCAGTCTTTGATATCCCACCAGTTACCGGACCCGGGCGGTGGAACATTTTACCCAGCTAGGACTGTTTGGAGCGTCCTGAGGCCGCTCCTTGAGGGGGGGGTACTGTCAGAATGGACTTGCCAATAACGGTGGGACTCACATGCCTTGTGGGCTGCTGCAGTACCAGGGCTGGCCAGCGGGTGCTCTCAGCAGTCAGAGACTCACCCCTGCAGTCAGCCAAAACACCTGAAGCTGATTGCAGGGGTTGTATTTAAGGAATGGCCAGACTCACAGTCAGGGCCTTGGTGTGTGTTTTTCCATGGGCCCCTGTATCTTGTAACCTGCATTCCTGTTCCTGTTCCTGCCTGAGTTGTTGCCGACCCTGCCTGATCCTGACCTCTGCTGACTTCTCCTGTTTGATCCCTGGCTTGTGACCCTGACCATTCTCTGCCTGACCCCCTGTACCTACCTGCCCGTTAGTGGCTGTACCCGGCTCGTGACCTGACCACTCTCCGCCTGCTCCTCCTGTACCTACCTGCCCAATAGTTTTCGACCCGGCCTGCCTGACTACGTTGTGCTCTCTATATGTATCTACCTGTGTATCTATATCAGTTTAGGTTTGGGTTTGTTTCATCTTGTTGTATGTATTTGTGTTAGCGTTGGGGTTTGGTGCACTGCGTTTATATTTGTATTGTTAGTCTTAATAAATTGTCTTATTTATACCATATCTGAAGCCTGCGTTTCCCTGTGTCAGTCCACACACCTCTGGTCATACCCAGAGCCCTGACAGGAAGGTTCTCTTCATGTCCGCCCCTTTGAAGCGGCAATGCTCCTCTGTGAAATCCTTTTTGCAAATTGATCAGGGAACATCGTCTTTTGACGCCTGGCGGATTCGGCACCCTCTCCACAAACAATTCACTTTCTATTCCACCCCTCATCGTAGTTATTCCCCGCTTGCATCATTTTTTTTAATCTCAGCTCCTCTGCTCCCTCTCCTAATTTCCTCTGACATCAACCCTATCACATGGTCTGACCATGCCTTTTTGACCTTAAACCTGTTATTCCCTAATGTTAAGCCAAAGGCAGGCCATTGGCTCCTCAATGAGACCTTTTTAACCACGGAACATCTCCGTGCTGAGCTCTCACAGGGACTTGACATGTACTTCCACCACAATGTAGGCTCTGTACCATCTACCTCGACCGTATGGGAAGCCCCCAAGGTGGTATTTCAAGGTCTTTGTATCTCTATGGGTTCTTGTTTGAAGAAATCCTCGGAGAGTACCAGGATTACCCTAGTCTGCCAGTTAACCCTGGCTGAACGTAGACATCTCGCAAAGCCATCTATTTCTGGGCTGCACAAAGTGACCTCTCTTCGTGACCAAATCAAGGCTCTTGATGCTTGTAAATCCACAAAATCTCCTCTCTGGGTCAAACAGAAATTCTACGAATTCTCTAACAAACTTCACCATATGCTTGTCCATAGACTCAAAGCTCAATCTCCCTCTACAATGTCAGACCATCTTATCCAGCCGAATGGGAACCCTACTTGTGACCCCCCATGTAATGGTCTCCCTTTTTGGCTCATATTATGAGTCCCTTTACAACTGTTTGACCCCAAATCTCCACCCTTCCCCTCACAGAGACTTCTTTTGATAGTTTTTTAAATCCTCTCTACTGTTACCAAAGCTATCGCCTTCTGACATCTCGATCCTTAACGCTGACATTTCATCTGAAGAAACTATTTGATACAGTCAAACTTCTCCCCTCACGCAAAACTCCGGGACCAGATGGACTGCCCTACTCTTATTATAAAACCTTCATTGGTATCTTGGCTCCCCATCTTCTTATCAAGATTTTTTCAAGGGTATTACTCCCCAGGCTGACTTCTCCGTGCTAATATATTTCTGTAATTCCCAAACCTGACAAGGATCATTTATCTTAGATAACTACTGTCCTATTACTCTACTAAACTACAAGATCTTTACTAAGATCCTAGCCAACTGGCTGTCCAGGGTCCTCATCTCCAAGCTCATACACAGAGACCAAGTAGGCTTTGTTTCTACCAGACATGTAGCGGATAAAACCAGGAGATCCATTGATCTGGTTGACTTGGTTAACCAGTGCTACCTCCACCACCATTTTATTGAGCTTAGATGCCCAAAAAGCTTTTGATCGCCTCAGCTGGCCTTATATGTTTATGGTCTTGGAGAAGTTTGGCTTCCGTGGCCCATTCGTGGCAGCTTTAAGAGCTCTCTACTCTTATCCTTCCTCATAGGTCAGACTGGCCTCTTTTCTCTCACCCCCTTTCTAGATGTCGAATGGCACGCAACAGGGATGCCCATTCTCCCCTCTATTGTTTTTATCCTCTGCTTGGAACCATTGGATATTGCAATCCGGTCTCACCCCGACATACAAGGGATATTATCTCATGGCCGTGAGTACAAACTATCCCTATTTGGCGAATGATATCCTTCTTACACTCTCGAATCCCCCAAATCTCTCTTCCAGTATTACATAAAATTTTACGTCAGTTCGGGACCCTCTCGGGCTACAAGGTTAATACCTCCAAAACTGAAGCACTCCTTCTTCACATCCCACCAGCTGTCCTCTCGTCCCTCCAAGAATCCCTCCCTTATCGATGGTGCACTCATTCTCTAAAATATTTGGGTACTAGCCTCACTTCCTACAGTTCTATATATGACGCCAATCCCCCCCCTCCCTATTTATAGCTATCTCTCACTCCTTGAAATTCAGGGATATCCTACCCATATCTTTCCTGGGATGCATCAACGTCATAAAAATGACTGTACTGCCCAAACTCCTGTATCTATTTGCGACTCTCCCCCCCCTTCCTGTTCCTATGTCCAGACTACACTTCCCCAGAAATCTCTTCTACACTTCATTTGGCATAATAAGCGACATAGAATCGCACATAGTGTACTACTTTCTCTGCGTTCTATTACTTTGCTACTCATCTCCGCTTCCTTGACGGTGGACCTTGCCTCTATCTGTCGTCTCTTTTATTGGCCCCATGCAATTCTCTACGAGAGTATCTGATATCTGGCAGAAATGTAAGGCTAGGTTTACATTGACCTCAGATTGCTCCCCACTGACTAATATCCTCTTTAACCCCAACCTTCCAGATAGTCTGGCCATGCCCCGGGTGCTCCCTTGTGGGTCACAGCCAATCTCTTCCAACTGCGCCATTTAGTACATCCTGTGATTCGGAAGCTGCAACCATTCTCATACCTCCAGAAAAAAAGGTCTACCTTCCCAACATTTATATATCTACCTCCAGATATGCCACTTTTTCTCTACCATGTCCCCCACTTTGACTCTTGGGAAACCCACTTCCTTTGAGTGTCTATGCATACAAGGTCCCCATCAAAAGGACATCATTTCCGATATATACAAACTTCTTATGGATGCTTCCCCCCTCTCTTTGACATTGATCTGATGCAGTGGAAGAAAATTTGGGAAAACACATCTAAGTCTTCCGTCTGTGTGGTTTTCACATTTTTTGGACCTGTGGATCCATTGTTCCTTTTTGAAAAGAGGTTTTGTCCTTTTTACAATTGCTATTGCATACTTCTCTTCCCTTTGAGCCCCTATACTTTCTATTGAGCCTGCCATTCCCAGGTCTTCCCAAAATGGCCAGGAAACTCACTACACATTTTGACTGAGGCTAGAAGAAGCATTCCTATGTGTTGGCTATCCTCTATACCTCCTTCGATGCCAACTCTGTTTAAAATTATTGCTGATGTGAGACAGATGGAATACTTGACTGCTCTGCATGCCTGTTAGATTGCTGTGTAGTGTGGCACCCATGGAATAATTTTACCTCTTCCCACCTTTCTCCAAATGTACTGTTCTGATGGCCTCCCCACCGTTGCTATGTGACATTATTATGTTTTTAACCGTGCAGATTTCACCATCGATGTGCTCCCTCTTTCTCTTTTGTTCCTCTTTCATTTACTGTTTGTGTATATGTGTGTGTGAACCAATAAAAATTAACCAAAAAAAAAAATGCCCCCCCCCCCCCTCCTTCTAACACCTATGTTGATTAACCTGTATAAGAAAGACGTATATACAGTACTAACCCTTCTTCATCTCGTTCCAGTTGGGTCATGTGATCCGGCTCCCTTGTGTCAGCCAGCAGTGGCTGCTAGGTAAAGGAAGAGGCAACAACAATGGCTGTGACATGGGGGCCTGTAAGGGACATCACCGCTCTAGGCTTTTCCAGTCATTGTTCAGCACTCCCTCCTCTCCCCTGCAGCTGCCACTGGCTGACACAAGGGA